GGCGGGGGCGGGGGGGGTCGGGGACCCTGGAGCAAGGGAGGGGACCCCGGTGTCCACACATGTTCCAGCCGAGGAATCGCGGCCGAACTCCCTGGGGTCGTTGCTGTTGGCCGATAAGTGCTCCGTGCAGAGGGCCCGGCTGGGAGTGTGAACGTGGGGTGTAAACCCGCGCACAGGTAGCCCCGAGTGATTTGCATTCTTTTGGGCCCAACTGGGTTTTCAGTGTTGACAGACTGTTAATCGTATGAAACTCTCTCCCTTATAAATTTCACTGGGTAGGCTACCCTGCAGTATTCCACAAAAGGAGGAGGAGGAGGAGGATGTCTGTTTTGAGTCTCCCAGGCTAGGGCACACTGCAACCTCGACCTCCTGGACTCAGGCGAGCCTTCCACCTCGGCCTCCCGAGTAGTTGGTACTACAGGCATGCACCACCACCCCCTCTATTTCTTTTTTATTTTTTGTAGAGATGAGGTCTCTCTATGTGACCTAAGCTGGTCTTGGATCAAGCAGTCCTCTCGCCTCGGTCTCCCAGAATGCTGGGATTACAGGGGTGATCCACCGCGCCCAGCCCACCCCAGGTTTATTAATATATAGCATAAAATAGGATGAATTTTGGACAGGTGGTTTATGAACAAAAAGCTGTAGAGAAAGGAGTGTCAGATAACTTTATGCTACAAGATTGCATTCAGTTAAAAAGGAAATCATAATTTGTTTGGATGTAAAAGCCATGTGTGTAATTTAATAGTAATCTTTTGGGGGTTAAACTTGTTTTGCCCTTTTACTTATTTATTTTTTTCTCTACACTATAATACCAGGACTTGATGCAAGGAAAACAAATATAAACTGGATTCCCCCTGCCTTCCAGTAAATGCTGTCACTTTGAAGTTGCGTCAATCTGTGGGCAGCATTTTTTAAAAAAATTATGATCACATTTCAGCCAACCAGATACAGGGTCAGATTATGAAGAGACATTGTAGGTATTTCCTGTGGATCCATTTAAAACAGGTGTCCTCTCCAAATAGTCTCTGAGTCAGAGTATGTGGAGTGGGAGCTGGCAGGGAAAGCCGTATCAGAGGTAAGAGAGAGTAGCAAATCCTGAATGTTTTCCTGAATTTTTCCAATCAAGCCCTAAGCCAAAATAAAGAGACCCATCAACTTTTAAAATTGGAAGTATAAGTATGCTAGTAAAAACTGATGTCCCAAGAAGGGTGTAGTGGCATTACAACTATTGACTATTGATGATTTGTAGTCATATCTTCATGTAAAAGTTTCTATTTTTAAAAAATTCTGTGTTCTTGCTGCATGGTTAAAAGATTGCAAAAGAAAAAACTTGGATCTACTGAAGATCTATTTATCTTACTAAGACCTTAATAAAGTTTTATGAGTTTAAGTAATATTTTCTTTTTATTTATTTATTGTAGAGATGAGGTCTCACCAAGTTGCCCAGGCTGGCCTCGAGGCCCCTGAGCTCAGGCAATCCTCTTGCCTTGGCCTCCCAAAGTGTTGGGATTACAGGCTTGAACCACCATGCCCGGCCTAAAGTAATATTTTCAAAGTTTGATATTCCCTTCCTTCTTTATACCTTGGCATATCATTAATAAGACTTACTATCTCCATTGTTACAAAATAAAATAATGTTTATTTCAAGTCATTTAATTTTTCGGTGGTCAGTTTCTTTTAAAATATATACCAATAAAACTTAAATAAGTGTTTTAAACCTATTCTAATGGGTTTGCTTTTGTTATTTTGTGACTCGCTAACCATAATGAGACAGTTTTGTGTTTTAAAACGTGATACATTTGCATAAACCTTGACTTGAATACTATTTTATGAGAATGTCAAGCCACAGTTTTTGGGACTTCTTGATAACTATTTATTAATATGTCCAGATTTGCTTTCTTTGCTTTTCAGACCATAACTAACAATCTCAGTCATGTCTTACAGATATTCTTTGTGGAAAAAATATGAAATCTACACACAGATTGTATTTTTTACAGTATAAATAACTCAGTGGGATATTGCTCTTAAAACTTCACTCAGTAGGTGATCCCCTTTTATGAACTATAATACATTCATTTTTATGTATTTATATGATGATTCCATATTTGATTTAGAGAATACTGTTTTTCATTGTATAGAAGAAATACATACTATCTTTTTAGCTTTTTCAATCCGAGCAGGGGTCTTCAAACTTTTAAAACAGTGGGCCAGTTCACTGTCCCTCAGACCGTTGGAGGGGTGGACTATAGTTTAAAAAAAAAACAACTATGAACAAATTCCTTTTTTTTAAAAAAAACTATAGTTCGCCCCTCCAACGGTCTCAGGGACAGTGAACTGGCCCCCTGTTTTAAAAGTTTGAGGACCTATTGTATAATTAGTGGAAATGGAGAAGAGGAGCCTTATCCAGTTGAGTCCCATGGATATCAGTAAACATATCAAGGGAAGATTTCGAGACCCTGTTTTAGCTTCTAGTTATATTAATATCCTTTGATTGTTGTAATATTTCTTACTTTTACACTACAAGATGAAAACACTCTTAAGTATTTCTTAAAATGATATAGACTCTTCAATCATTTTTTTTTCTTTGTTGGAGATGGAGTATGTCGGATATATTGGTGATGAATGGTACCTACTTATTTTGGAAATGACTGGCACTCCTGTCTTCCTTATTCTGTATTCTAAGAAACCAATTTTATATAACTGTTGGTCCTTGCTTAAAAATTCAGGAGGAAGAATTGTATTTATGCATATCCTTATAATATTCAATATTTGCATATTTCCTCTCATTCTCCATTTACATTAGATAAGCATGTTCTGACAATATATTTGGACAAATTATATTTCTCCCTTCCCATTTATCTGTACCTCAAGGGTGAATGTTAGGATATGTTCCTTTGAGAGGCTTGGGTGTGGAAAAAATCCTATCAGTATTGCAGAAAAGACACCTTAGAGTTATTTTTTCATTATAAAAGTAGCATATTTATGATACTAAAATAGGAAAATGTTAAAGAATGAAACATTATCTCCACTCTCACCATCCAGAGAAAACACTGAACCTTTTAGTATATTTCTACCAGCCTTTTATAATACATACTTAGCTGGTAGAGACATACAACATAATGATTTGAATCACATAGATATGTTTTTGCCTCAGATTGAAAAAAAAAATTCTCTTTTTATTTAAACTCTTCATAAAAATCATGTTTAATGATTGTATACAACAATATCTTGCAGATATATCATATTTTGCTTAAACTTTTCCCCATTTTTGGATATTTAAGTTGTTTCCAGTTTTTTTTACCACTACAAATACACTGTAACTCCCATATTTTAAATCGAGAAAGCTACTTTTTAAGGATTATTTAAAACTCAGAACCAATTAAGAAACCACATTTTTATCACCTAATGTGTATACTTGTTCACATGAGGTTATATGAACTGAGATGCTAAGGAGAGTTTTTTGCCCTGGAGGGCAGTTGGGAAGTATTAAATGTACGAGAAAGAAGTAATTTCTCACAGGCCAAGTGAACAGCAGCTCCTGTGGTTGTGTTACTGTTGTAGACTGCAACCGTTTTTGATTTGAAATGGACTGTATTTACTACAGAGAACTCTGTTAAGTTATGAGAGTTCACTGAAAAGCATTAGAAAAAACAGAGTCTAGATCGGCCGAGTCATTGCATAGATCTCATACACATCTAAAATCGTTCCCTCGCTCCCTCGTGCTGACAGTGCATTAGCCAATGTTCCTCATCCTGCTTGAAATGCTCTCTCTTCATGGGCATATATCCAAACCCAACAGTCAGCAAGATACGATTAAGCCTACTTCATCTGGCAATCTCTTTTTAGGACATATGAGGTGGCCTTCCTGCTCTGAACGCTACCCCGAATGGCTTACTTGGTGATGCAAGTTCCACAAGCACTCATTGTATTCCTTATTTCCTTCTCAAAAACTGCCTCCACTGCAGTGTTCCTAATCTCTGGAAACAGCACAACCCTGCCATGTTAGAAATGTTAGGTCAGAGCCAGATTGCCTGGGGCTGCCAGTCTCTTAAATGTGTAAAAATATCTCTGAAAGTGTAGAAGACTGAAGATAATATACTGAACTTCTTCTCAGGGAGGATATTGTGTGATGCTGGAAGAAATATTTTCATAAGCTACTTGGGTAGATGGTGGTGACTGGTGAGAGAGATCCCCTAAAGCATTCTAGGGTGATGGTAAATGGCTGTGAAATATCTTCTTCCCAATGGGTGTCAGAGTAATTACTGAATTTTTGTTTTGCTGGGTGGAATATTTAGGAGTTTGGGATCAGAGCTAAATTGAGGTATTAGAAAAGAGACAGACTACCACTAACAGCCACTACCATAGGACCTTTTTTTTTTTTTTGGTAAAGAAATGGTCTGGGGTGAAGTAGCATGATCAAAGTTCATGGCAGCATCTAACTCCTGAGTTCGATGGCTCAAAGGCTTCTCCTGCCTCAGCCTCCTGAGTAGCTGGGATTACAGGTGTGAACCACAGTGTCTGGCCAGAGAATCTTTCTCCTCCACACCCTTCAGCCTCTATTCTAAATAAGTGTTGAATATTTAACAGATATTTCAGAAATATTAAAAGTCAAATTCTCCAGAGATAAGATATATCATAATTAAATAAAGCTAGGTGTAAGATAATAGGGTATGGGCAACCACTTTGGGTCTCCTCCCACTGTGGAAGATTTTCTGTCCTCTTAATAAATCCTACTTTCTCACTTTCCAGAAAAAAGGAAAAAAAGGCAATAGGGTATGATTTGATCTATGAAAAACTAGCAAAAGTCATATACTCTTTAGTAAAGACATTTCCA